TTAATTTAAGCTCCTTAACAGCAATCCAGCCTGATGCGCTGCTACTTCAAGTTTGTATCTCATGCAAACGCAAGTCACTCCAATGCAATGAAAGCTCATAAGCCTAGGCCTGCTGTCTAGCAACACGGTTTAGGGTTCAGGCTTTTGGGTTGAGAGTCCAGCACAGCGTCCTCTGGTGAAAGCAAGTCGGAACGGAGAACCAAGAGTAGCGCAGAATGCATGACAAAACTTTAGAGCGAAGTCTAGAACCACCTCCCTTGAATGGCGACCCCCACACCTAATGATAAATGCTCCCCCGAATATATCTATACATATATATATATACATATGTACATATTGGTACTATGTTCGTTGTATTCAATGTTGGGCCAGTGGGATTCCAAAAATAATGAGGGCGAGGGGATTCCTGCAAATGCGGAAAAATTCAGTGGCAAAATGCAACGCAATCCAACCATCTGCTCTTCAATTGCTGCCTGCGTCTCATTTGGGTGGACCTCTGCTTCCTGCCGAAGGATTGGATCATGGGCTAAAAACGAAACAGCATTTCTGCGAAAACATCGGATTGCCGCCTAGTGTGTCATATTTATATTTGCTCTAATCTAAACTCCTAGTATCCCCCTGGATAATCCATGGAAGTCCCACTGTTTAGACTACAGCCCATGTCTGACTTACATCCTCTCATTTTCCTGGAGCTCTCGAAGTCTGGGCACGAATGCTTTCACTGGGTTGAGGGCTTTTCTGGACAGGTTGTACTTGAACAACCCTAATGCAATCATGAGGAAGCTGCAGCCCCAAATCTGAACCATTAACTCTCAAACAGCTGGTTATATGGGGTTGCATTCTCCAATAATGGAGACTCAAATGGAAAAGAAAATGGACAACTAAATGGAAACATCAGCGCCTTGAAGCCCCCGGCCACAGGGCCCCATCTATCGAGAAGGGGAACAACAGGAACTGATCTGATTTGTGTGAGCACTAGCCACAACTTTGGCATGAGCCATGCATGGCAAAAGTATTCTTACTTGGGTTGCTCGAGCTTCTTCAAACTCATGTCAAGAACCTGGCCCTTTTGTGGTCCCAACCGGAGTCAACCCGGAGAAGCGCTTGAAGGGGAGCAAAGTTGAAAAAAACCAGGTCCTACTGGAGGTTACTAGGGAATAAGGAAATGCATTATATAGGAAATATACCCCCTATACATATAATATAGGGGTTATCTTTCCTTATTCCCTACAAAAAACCAGAGAGGGGCACCTCTACGAAACTTCATCTCTTGAGCAAACCTTTTCAAGGGTCCTTATAGCGCACTATAGCAGATTGGGGTCTGTACTGGGGTCCCCCTATTTGGGGAAATTACCACTTAGTGATGGGGTTAGGTTTAGAGATGAAATCCTCCTGTATAACTGGAGAGTTTCCTCCAGACATTTCAACCCCCACGTTGGAAATCTGAAAAACAAGCCCTCCTCCACAGCTGACGGCGCTCTGCCTGACAGGGCCGGCGCAATCCCTGTAAAGGGGACTCCCAGAATCTCTTAAACCCTAAACCCTAAATCCCAAACCCTAAGCTCTAAACCCCAAACCCTATACATCCCTCACTTTCAAGGGGACCCCTAGTCGAGAAGCCCTCAGCTCTAGGGACTCCAGGGTAAATTTGAGCTACAGTCCGAAAACTCCTTTAAAGGGTGTATATGAGGGATTATACAAGGGAGCAATAAGGGGGATACTAGGAGCTTAGATCCTAAACCCTAAACCCTGTACTATGAGGAATATTAAGGGAGATGATTATGGATTCTAGTCCTCCTTAAGTAGATAGAGAATCGCGTTGGCTCTATTATAATAAGATCCCCATCTACCCCATATTCTATCTACTTAGGGGGGACTATACACCCTAGACCCTAAACCCTCAATAGAAATTTCCATTTTCTTTTCCATTATCCCAATATAACCCCAATATAACCCCTTAAGGGGGACTAGAATTCGATGTTAGCCCAAATGAGGGACAGATTCCTGAAGCGGCTCCCCAAGGAGTGTGAGTCTAGTTAAGGATTTAGGGTTTAGGACTTGGGGTCTAGGGTTAGGGCTTAGGGGTTAGGGGTTTTGGGTTTGGGCTTAGGGGTTTAGGGTCAGGGCTTCGGGGTTTGGGGTTAGGGCTTAGGGGTCTAGGGGTTTGGGGTTTAAGCTTTCGGCCCCTGAAGTGCTCCATGCATTTTGAGGACTCATCGTTAAATGGCGTCCAGGACCCGCTTTCAGCCTATGCCCTGGCTCGCTATATAGTGCATAAAAAGGACTATAGTATTTTGGGGTCGATATTGGGGGCCCTCTATTTTGGGAAACTACCATATTGTACTGCCGGAACTTGTCGGAACTCATCCTTCCATGTTCAAGGGCCTGTGCACATCTGCATTTCTGAAACCTTATCTCGGGGCCCCGCCAACTTTTGAAGCACTCATCTACCTGCCCACAGCACCCTGAATCCTTCAAACCAAGCGTCTATTGCCCGTGCTCT